TGAGTGTATACAGGGTAGTACTGTATATATGTTACTGCTACAGCTTGAAAAAAACAGCAAATTATTTACTACGAAGAATTACTACTTACACTAAGGAAAAGAGAATCCACTAATTTTCTCCTTTTAGTGTAAAAATTTTAATAGTCATTTACTGTTAGGTTAGAGGAAATGATTTTCATTTACTGAATTCCAACTTAACATTAAAGTATTATGTCACCGCATCATCCCTCTCCTCTTTGACTCCCACCAGCCCACTCCAACAGCAACAAGTCATCTGTGCTAGACTAATAGTCACAGAATTTTAGAACTATAAAAGATTCAAGATATCACATAGTTCCACCCAACAGTAAAACTATATTTGGCATGGTTGTTAAACAAAATTTCTTTTTGAAAGAAATACTAGAAAAATAAAACTGAGTTTTCCCCATAGACAATCATCGAGAAGGTTTATTAGCTCCCTGAGTTTGAGAAAGAATTCACTTTTTAAGCAGCTGAATTCTGGCATGAAAGAATAATAATAATAATTACGTCAACGATTTTCCAAGTGACAGGACCATGCAGATTATAAAGGAACAACATTTATAAATGTTGGCAACCAGTTGTATACCAGGAAACCAAAAGCAATTTATGTAGGAGTTTGGCATCCAAGATTCTCTCTAAAATTCTATGACTAATTTCTCGAATAGTTTTATTTCTCTCACTTAATCACTCTACTCCCTGCTTCACAATATAGACGAGAGCATTTGGTTGCATCCAATGCTCCAAAGGGATCATGGAATAAAATATGTCAGTGAGGTTTTAAAGAAAGCTGGTTCTATAACTAACAATGGAACAAATTATATGATTTAAATGGGAAAATGTGAGATAAATTAGTTTTCTCCTCATGTCCTTTCAAAAGCTAGAGACTATTGTTCAGTTGCTTTTTTTGTCATTCCAGTACTACTTTTCTTAATCTAATTATTTATATAATAAAAAAGTATATCTATCAGCCAGCACCTTCAGGGCTTCAAGATAACTTCTTCCATAAAAAAATACACTTGATAATAATAATAAGCCATTCCATGAAGCTCTCATCTACATTATCCCATTTCATTTTCAAAACAAAGTAGCAGGGTTGATATATAGATTTTTACCCTCTAAAGAAGAGAAGAGAAAGCCCAGAAACATTAAGTGGCCTGCCTAAGATCACAGCTAAATAAATGCTTGAACCAAGAATGGAAGTTAAGTTTCTTCTCCCGATGCCCAGCATGACTCCTTAAGGCCACCTCTTCTCTGTAGATGTATCAGCTAGTCTCTAGTCATCATTCCCCTCTACTGTTACTGTTCACTCCCACATCTATTTCTATGCACTAATGTTGATGAGCTTGCTGACACAATTCCAATTACAAGTGACTTCCGACAATCTCCAAAGCCCTTGTAGTGCTTGACTTCCTAATGGCACTTAGGGACAACTGGGACGCTTATGTGAAAATAATATGGAGCTGATGGAACAGGTTTCTGGTACCTTTGCCAGCAGGAGTTTTATAACTTTAAAGAGGTCTTCCTTTCTCATATCCGAGAACAGTGAATCCATGACTGTCTCAATATTTTGCCTTATCATTCCTTAGTGGCTGGAGTATTTAGGTTCCGTATGTCAGACTGGGAAAAGAATATAAAATTTAAATTTACATTAAAAACATAGTCAATTGGGGGCTGGCCCCGTGGTGTAGGGGTTGAGTGCTCGCGCTCCACTACTGGCGGCCTGGGTTTGGATCCCGGGCGCACACTGAGGCATCGCTTGTCAGGCGATGCTGTGGCGGTGTCTGTGTGAACACAGATTCATAAAGACAAAGAATGGCCCGTTGCTTAAAATGAGTCAGCTCTGCCCTGAGCCAGTCCTTGCCTTTAGCTGCTATTCTGATGGAGGCTTCCCCCACTTTGGTCTTAAGCACCTCTCTGACTATAGGTATTCCTCACACAGTTACAGCACTCCTAAAGACACAAAAACATTCTAATGTTAGCCTAACAAAATATGCAATTTTATTCTTCTCTGCAAACAGAGAAGGCTAGGCTCATATTAAACCCAGCCTCTTTGCTCCTGTTTCAATGCAAGGGGAGTTTCATGACTGTCTTACAGCCACTGCCCACTGTTTAAACCCAAAGTTAACCTCAAAATTTTTTTTCTCAAAATTATTGGTCTCATATTTTATGTGTGCATGCACTGTCAGTGGCCAGAAAAAAGTGGATTTTGGATATGCAGTAACATGAGAAAGTAGAAAATTCTTCTTTGCTTCTTAGTTACCCACATGACTGAATTTATAATCTTTGGTGGTGTTTATGATTATGGACAATGAAGGAAATAATGAGAGTTTATCACCTCAGTACGTATAAAAAATGTTTATTTGCCCATTCATTGATGATGTTATATATCATACAATTCCCTTATAATATAGCTGTTATAAACTGTGTTGCTCTCCAAAAGGCTTAGGCATGGAAATGCTTTGGCTCACACTGCAGCCAAAGTAACGGCCATTTTCCCTTTCTGGGTCCAACTAGTTGCCTCTGAAAACTCTCTTTGTTGCTGCTTTATTCTAAGATTAGGCCTCAGATTCAGGATTAAACAGAATCAAACAAATGAAACTTACTAATTGAGTGCCTCTTCTTCCCAAATCTGTATGGGCCCAAGGATCTTCTTCATCTTGCTTTCCTGGACTAGGGAATGAGAAAGATAAACAAAAGAGGTGACAGCACAAATGGTAGATAAATAATTGACATGTGAGTTTGAATTCTTCTAAGTTGGTCTATTTTGTCACACCTGCCCCATTCGTCAAGCCTATATTTTAGGAAGTCCAGTAAAGACACAATGTTCCTAAAGAAGAATACAATATTTTCTTCTTACATTCTGTGACTCAAATTCTGTGAACTCAAATTCTGGTAGTACGTGCTTTTTTTAAGAAGAATCAATCATAATCTTCTGGATTATCTTTTAGAGCTATATCATCTCAAAGCACATATCCCTGTCCACAGAGTGAGCTATAACATAAAAGAGAAATTTCTGAATGGGAATAGCACTAGAAAAGAACTTTTCCAATGTACAGAGTCGATCAAAACATCAAGGAGCTAAAATCTTAAAACATATTAATAAAAACACAGCTAATTGTTAAATTACAACAAAAAATAGTGGCTATTCAAGCCATGTTTCACAAATCACATGGCTCTAGACTATTTTAGCTAGCAAAGGAGTGTGTACCTTCATTGGAAACAATGCTGCACACATATTCTAGATGAGTCAGAGTATAATCATGACCTGGCTAATGACATAATAAAAGAGACTACCTGATTACAATAGAGTAAATTTTGGTGTTTGAGTCTCCAGGTAATGATATGCTAGGAAACTGGAAAAGAAGATTTTTCCAGATATATAGGTAATTCTAGGGGGTATAGTCAGCTTATGTGCAAGTGCCGTTAATAAAATGTGACTTTTCTCCACTATTAAAGAAATACTCCAAATTTTGCTTTATCAAGATGGCATAAAATTTTTAAAATGTATCTAGAAATGCAATATAGGATTTATGACAAAGGCAACAAGGCAATACAGTGGAGAAAGGATGATTGTTTTCAATAAATGGTGCTAGATGAATAGAATATTCATATAGTAAAAAAATAGCTGAACCTCTATCTCATAACACACACAAAAATAAATTCCAGTGGATTGCAGATCTAAACATCTAAATGTAAAACAATAAAGTTTTCAGGAAAAAAACATAGAAGAACGTCTCTGTGACACTGGAGTAGGCAAAGAGTTCTTAAACAGGACACAAAAAGCACTAACCATGAAATTTAAAAACTGGAAAATTTGGACTATATTAAAATTCCTACTTGGTGTCAAAAAATCACCATTAATAGAGTGAAAAATCAACCGATGGAGTAGGATGCTATTCAGTATAAATATTTCTGACAAAGGATTCATATCCAGAATATATTTTTCTAAAAAACTCTTCAACATTAAAGAGAAAAAGACACACAACCCAATAGAAAAATGAATAAAAGATATGAACAACCACTTCACAATAAAGAACATTGAATGGCTAATAAGCATGTAAAAATGGTGCTCAACTTCATTAGTCATCAGGGAAATACAAAATAAAACCACAGTGTAATACCACCAACCACACACAAGAATAGCTAAAATGAAAAAGAGGAGGAAATAACAAAATGTTGATGAGAATGTAGAGCAACACTTTGGAAAACTGCTAGGCAGTATTTATAAAAGTTTAACATCATAATATCTTCTGACCCAGTAATTCTAATCCTGGGTAAATATGCAGGTGTCAACAACAGACATGTTCTAAAACATTTAGCTATACTATCCATACTATTCCCAAACTGAAAATAATACAAATGGCCATGGAGAGAACGGAAGAATAAATTGTGATATATTTAGGCAATGAAATATCAAACAGAAAAGAGTATGAAGACGTCTCAACTACACACAAGATAGATGAAACAAATATTGAGTGGAAAAAAAAGAAAAAGAGTGTATGCACTATGATTCCATTTATATAAAGATTGTTGCAAGTTTAGGTGATAGTTACTCTCGGGATATGGGGGCAGGGGGCACCGGAAAAGGACACGAGGGCAGGCTTCTAGCGTGCGTGTAATATTCTGGCTCTTAATCTACAGTCTGGTTACATGGGTTTATTCAGTTCGTGAAAATTTATCCACATGTATCTAAATTAAAAAGTTAAATTGAAACAAATAGATGAACAATGACAGCAAAGGATGAAACATCTAAAGCCAAAGAGATCATAACAAACGCCACTCCCCCACTTTCTAAGCCCTGCGCGCGCACGCACAATGCCATGAAAACTCCATTGGTTGGACCTAGGTGGCGCACTTCCGGAAGCCGCATCCAAGCACCGCCCCTTCCGCCTCCCGCCTTCCCGCCGTCCAGCCCGGCGGCTTCGGGCGCTGTGGACTCGAGCCCTCGAGGCAGTGTCCCTTTCGCTTGGCAGTAGCCTGTTTCCCGGTCACCGCCGTCCCAGCCGGCTCGCTCCCCGCCGCCGTTATGAACATCCGCAATGCTCGGCCGGACGACCTGATGAACATGCAGCACTGCAACCTCCTTTGCCTTCCCGAGAACTACCAGATGAAATACTATTTCTACCACGGCCTTTCCTGGCCCCAGCTCTCTTATATCGCTGAGGACGAGGACGGGAAGATCGTGGGCTACGTCCTGGCCAAAATGGAGGAGGACCCAGACGACGTCCCCCACGGACATATCACCTCACTGGCCGTGAAGCGTTCTCACCGGCGCCTCGGCCTGGCCCAGAAGCTGATGGACCAGGCCTCCCGGGCCATGATAGAGAACTTTAGCGCCAAGTACGTGTCCCTGCACGTCAGGAAGAGTAACCGGGCAGCCTTGCACCTCTATTCTAACACCCTCAACTTTCAGGTCAGTGAGGTGGAACCCAAATACTATGCAGATGGGGAAGATGCTTATGCTATGAAGCGGGACCTCGTGCAGATGGCAGAGGAGCTCAGAAGGCAGCTGGAGCTGAAGAAGGGCGGGTATGTGGTGCTGGGCTCCAGGGAGAACCAGGAGACCCAGGGCAGCACACGTCCTGGTTCCGAAGAGGCCTGTCAGAAGGAGAAGATCCAGGCCACTGACGATAGTGGGAGTGACAACAAGGAACCCAGCGAGTCCCCGGAGAGCACCGATGTCCAGGACAGCTCAGAAGACTCTGATTCCACCTCCTAGAGCCTGCTTAAGGTATTGTCTCTTCCCTGACCCAGCCCCTTCCTACCCTAAATCCCTGCACCATACCTTGGCCTGCCCAGTCCCATCCTGTCCTATCCCATTGTGGCCCTGCTGGGGTGCACAGTGAAAACTGCCTGGTGACCTGGGGGAGGAGTGTGGAATGGATTGGGGGAAACTCATTGCTCACTATTGGGAGTTAATAGGACTCCAATTTATATACTGAAAGTAGATTAAATTAAGTAAAAGAAACGAGCATTTATCCTGCCTTTTTGGTATGAATTATATTTTAGGGTATCCACATAGTTGAAAGAAATTTCTTCATTATAGAATTACAGCTAATAAATGCAGAAACAAGGATAGAATTATCAAATCACCATTTTGCAACTTTTGATGAAATAATAGATCTAGCTAACTGTCATCAATGGCTAATACTGTTAGGTGCAAGTTGGAGCACTGTAATGATGTATGAGACTGACAACACTTGAAGTCACTGGTGAAGTGTAACATCACTAAAAGGGAGAAAAATATTATGTGCCTCCTAATGCAACAGAAAGTGCACAGTAACACCTGTGAAATATTTTTGCCAAAAGAAAATTTTATACATATAATTTATATATATGTGTGTGCATGTGTGTGTATATAATTTGTCTTGAATCCAAACAAGGCTCTAGATCTATCTAACATCTTTATTAAAAATAGAGGGAAATTTTGAACTATACCATGATGCAATCAGCCAAATCCAGAATGAGAAAGTTTCTACAGAACAGATGACCTGGTTTCCTCAACAAATAAATGTCATTTTAAAAAAAGGGAGGAGCAATTTTAACAGCCTTGAGAGAGATATTTACCAAATGCAATTATTCTGGATATTGTTTGGATCCTAATTTAAACAAGCCAAATATAAGACATTTTGAGACAACCAGGCAAAATTTGAACACGGGCTGTATGCTGTTCAGGAATTGTTGATAATTTTGTTAAGTGAACTAAATGGTGCTGTAGTATTATGTTAAAAAAAAGTCCTTATCCATTAGAGATACATACTGAAAAAATTAGAGGTGCAATAATATGAGGCCTAGGATTTACTTTAAAATACTGCAGCAAAAAAACGAGAAAAATAAAAAGGTTGAGGAGGGGGAAATAGATAAAATAAAAATGGCAACATATGATTATTGTTGAAGTTCAGTAATGGGTACTTGTGGGGTTCATTATGCTATTCTTTAGTCTTTTGAATGTGTGAAAATTAACATGAATAGTCAAAGAACAAAAACAAGTATTATACTTCCCAATACACACTAATACTAAGCAGCCACTAAAAAGTAGTTTAAAGACTACTATGGAAATTAATTTCCATCAAGGAACTTTGGAACACCTTAAGAAATTCAAGGGTAAAAGAGCTGCTGTCAATTTAGAAGCTTTGACTTCTAAACCTAGTCAGCTTACCCTTACATGTGAAAAAGGTAACAACTTTCTCATGACAAACTCCAGGCATGAGTGACATACACTGCATATAATTAAAATAAATGCTGTTTGATTAATTTACTCATTCATAAAAATTTTTATTTGACAGGCATGAGGCTTGGAGCTTGGTATACAACAGTGATCAGGACAGGCTGATGTTTACATTATGTAGCGTTTAGGAATACATGAATTGAATTTTTTATACATTTTAATGCTGAAACCCAAACTATAGCACAGTAACCCCATTTCATTTTCACTCATAGTTGCATAGAGTATAAAAATTTAGACATAGTAAATTCATCGATTTTACATAGAGTATAAAAATTTTGATGTAGTAAATTCATTGATTTTAGAAAGAGTCTATCCTCAGAGGATTCTTTGCATCTGGCTTTTAATAACCTGAAGGTTTCACAGTGATTGATTCATTTGGTCTAAGGTTAAGATAAAGGCAGCAGAACAGTGTAAAAGAGAAGGTAAAATTAGGCAAAACTTAATGCCATGAGAGAAGTATTGTCAAATTTACATCTGCTTTGAAAACCCTGCAGGGCTCTATCAAGGCTATTTTATTTAAATCAATAAGCCTTTACAAAAAACTACCAACTTTCGGGGCTGGCCAGGTGGCGCTAGCGGTTAAGTGTGCATGCTCCACTGCGGAAGCCCGGGGTTCGCCGGTTCGGATTCCTGAGGCACATCAATGCACCACTTGTCAAGCCATGCTGTGGCGGCAGGGTTCGGATCCCTGGGGCACATCAATGCACCACTTGTCAAGCCATGCTGTGGCGGCGTCCCATATAAAGTGGAGGAAGATGAGCATGGATGTTAGCCCAGCACCAGTCTTGCTCAGCAAAAAGAGAAGGATTGGCAGATGTTAGCTCAGGGCCGATCTTTCTCACAAAGAAAAAAAAAAAAACTACCAACTTTTAAATTCCTTTATAGAAGGACTTATGTAATATTGATCTCATCTTTGTGGTTATTGGCTTCCTTCAGTTGTTATACTCTAGCTGAGAAGGATTTTAAGTAGAACAGAGCTAATTGGAGATTGCTTTAAAACAATAAATATATATATAAATATATGAAATTTGATGAATTCTAATGCACTTAATATCTACTATGAGAAATAAAAATAACTGCGGCTCTAGTAGGGGAAAAGAAAATAAGAAATAAGAAAATTATTGTGTGGTGGTTATAAATCTCAGACAGATGTCTCAGTTGATATCTGCTGAGACATCTTCATTGGCTCCATCTAATCTTTTGTCCCCATTATTCACTTCTGGGTCCTTTCCAACCAGAGACCTTTTCAGGTCTCAGGTGCTCTCTGCCCTGTTTGGGCCATTTTGGTAGCAAGGGTGTTAGTCTGTGTAGGCTAACTGTTTTAAAAAATAACCTCCTGGGGCCAGCCCTTTGGCATCGTGGTTGAGTCCAGCGTGCTCTGCTTTATCGGCCTGGGTTTGTGGGTTTGGATCCCAGGTGCAGACCTACACCACTTGTCAAACCATGCTGTGGTGGCAACCCACATACAAAATAGAGGAAGACTAGAATGGATGTTAGCGCAGGGCTATCTTCCTCAAGCAAAAAAAAAAAAGAGGAAGATTGGCAACAGATGTTAGCACAGAGTGAATCTTCCTCACTAAAAATAAATAAATAAATAAATAACCTCCAATTCTCGATAACTTAACACAATAAGAGCTTATTTCTCACATCACAGTTCAGTGTGGGTCAGCAGCGTGGTGGGTTGTGGTGGGGAGAGGAGAAGAGGAGCCCTGCTCCATGAAGTCCAAGGAACACATCTAGAACAGATGTTCTTAATTTGTTTTGTTCCACAGCCGCCTTTGGCAATCTGGTGAAACCTAAGGACCCCTTCTCAGAAAATTGTTTTTAAAAGGCATAAAAATCATATAGGATTACAAAGGAAACCAATTTTAGTGAAATATAGTTATCAAACTATTTTTAAATACATTTATGTTATATATGTACCTTTTTATTAGTATTTGAAATAAAAAATATAGCAGTGGGTCTAATAATTACTTCAAAGAAAATTTGAGTGTAAATATTTTGAGATACTTTCAACAGCTGTAATATAATATGAAAATACGTGACTTTTATTGGTGACAGAGTCACAAGTATTGCTAATTCTGCTATGCATTGGTGCCTACATTCATAATCGAAGGAAATGCTAAAGCTCAGTTAGAGGTTAGCGAAAATACAGAATTTTTTTTGTTCCAAATCCAAAGTCATGGTTCTCCTAAATTCTACTAATGGATCCCAGGTTAAGAACCACTGATTCAATGACTCTGCCATTTTCTAGAATCGTGTTTACTTAGCTGGCTCATAGACATTCAGCTTGCAGATAAGGGAGGAGAATGCACATAGAGGTTCATATGTGTTTTAAGTCAGTCCCATTTTACCACCTAACTGCAGGGGAGACTAGGAAAGGTAGTTTAGCTGTGTGCCCAGGAGGAAAAGGAATGAGTTCTGGTAACCACACAGCATAGTTTCTGCAACAATGGGCAGCATTCTAGTAGTGCTCTGGACTATAAGAAGTTCTGCCCAGCTAGGAGTTTGGGATCATTCTGCTGCTCCATCTCCATAACATGGCACAGGAGAGGCTTTTTAGGACTGTCTGCTTAGTCACATGGCACATATGTCTTCTGTTCTTGCACAAACCCGGGCACGGGAAACTGGGATTCTGCCACCTTGCTGCCTTTATGCCCCTCATTAAAACCTGGGAGAAATGACCCCTCTACTCGGAAATCCCCCAAACTGTCTAAAGTTTCAGTTACCATTCCTCACTTCCATCCCATTCATCAGGGATTCACTAGAATATGAGCCTAGCTGCCTGAATGGGAAAAGGCTACTGTGAAGAAAGAGAGAACAGGAAAAAAATTAAAAAGGTTAATACTGCAAAAGTATTATCCTGCCACAATTGTGGCGCTCCTTCCTGTGGAGCTAGAATTCAGATACCTACGGAATAAAGTCCTGAAAGAAATACCTTTTCATTTTCCCTTATCTCTTCTTTTGGGTCTGGGCAACAGAGACAGTTCAAGTTAGAAGTGATAGTGAGTAGGGCACTTAGTGAGGGAGATTGGGTGTCTTCATCTACAAAATGGTAATAAAAATGACCACTAACACTGTGAGAACTCACTATGTTACAGGTACTGTTCTAAGGACTGTGTACGAATTGTCTCATTTAATCCTCATGATATCCCTCTGAAGTAGGTACTATGGCTCCATTTTACAGATGAGAATTGCATGTCATATGGATAGTAAGTGGAGAACAGGGATGCAAACTCAGGTGGTGAGACTCCACCAGGGTGAGCATTAAATGAGACAGTCTCTGTAAATTGCTTAGCACAATACCCCACACACAGTTAAATATTCTGTAAATTTTAGCTCTCCATATAATCGGTAGTAATTGTAACCATTCAGGCTCTTTTTTTCTCCACAGTAATCAAATGATAGAATGTTGGGTATGAGCAGCAACAGTTTGCAATCTTGGAAGGGAGATGCATCTTAATGATTAAAATAGCTTTCACTGACAAGCTGAATGTCAAAGCATTCAGCTGAAGCAATACTCATCAACGGCAAAGTTTCTAGGGAGCCATAGCAATGAAGACAGGTCAGTTCAAAACATGCTAGTTGAGGCAGGAATGCCATCAGACTGATGCTTATCTCCTGACAAGAAATATGTGCTTGATGATTAATAACAAAAAAGAAAAAAAATGCAAAATCTTAGACTTTTCCATTGAGCTGGCAATATTGAGTTAACCAAGGTTACTTCAGTGATTCTCTCTTTCTGGTTTATTCTTTCTGTCGCTAAGCTGTCATCCTAACAAAAAGTTGTTAAATCTTCACATGAGCATTCACTGAAATAGACTGTTCTTAATTTTACCAGACAACTAATTATAATTGGAATGATATAATGAAATATAGAAGAAAGTTAGAGACTGACAGGTCTGGTAAATTCCTAGTATAACCTTACCCCAGATATGCCAGAAACCATAGATTTCAAATGTAACTGCACTCTATGAAGATAAAGAGGGGGTTGGGAAGAGATAAAATATTGTTCTGAAATACTAATCAGATAGATACCATTTGCTGAATTATTTGTAATCTCTAACAATGTCACTTTTCAATCAGTGTATGATGTACATTTAGAATGACTGAAATACCAACTTTGTCAGAGGTAACTGATAAAAGCAGAGGTTTTTCCTAAATTGTGTACTCCCTCTATGCTCCAGTTTATAAAATCTAATGACTTTGTGATGGAAGAGGTGAGGAAGAGAAGGTATTAAAAATTCTGTGAATGGCAATGGTTCAAAGAGCCAGAGAAAAGCCTTTCTGAAAACATTCTGCAATGCTATTTCTATAGATGAATATACTCAGAACATCATAGGATATTTTTAAAAAGTAAAGCCGTCAAAGTCTTTTTGTGTTCATAAAGTCATCTTAACAATTAACATATTTCTCAGGCTTCCATTGCCCACCTTCAAGAAATTCTAGTCATGTAAAAATTTGAACTTAATAAGCTAATAAATTCAGGGCTATAATATTCATATTTTAAAAGCAATCTTTATGAAAAATTTCTATACCCTTAAGCAGCAAACTACACTAGGACAATTATTACAATGTTATTTGACTTTTTAAATTTAATGTCTTAAAATTATCAAACAGTATTTACTGAGAAAACTAAAACAGCTATATATGATATTTGGTCTTTATATAACTTCTTCTGCATGCCTGTCTTAACAGTATTTGAAACAAATTGAAAAAGATAATGATGATGGTCTTTACCTATTCTCCCACATCTTACTACTCTTCCATTACCGCAAATATACTTTTTTAAAAAAAATAAGATTTTGTATTAAATGCCTCCGACTGTCCCACAACTTGATTTACTGTTGTTATTCTGGAAACCGACTTTTCTGTAAATAGGATTTTGTACAAAAATGCTTTTTAACTAACTGGTCCATGCATCACAGTCAACCTTTATCTGATTACGGCTGTGTGCATTTGATAGATGGGACAAGATAATGCGTCTTTACAGTTGTAGGGTTCTGTTGTTGTTTGGTTTTGTTTTATTTGCAATTATTCAGTAATGGGCAGCAATACTCCACTAGCTTTTCTTTAACTTATATATTCCATTCCCATATCACATAAACTTTTCTCCCTTATTAAGGATAGGGTCCATGTCTCATTTATCTTTGTTTCCTTAACTCCCGGCACATTATTCATTCATGGTAGGTAGTCAGTAAATATTCATTGACTGAGTGAATGAAGGAAGGAATCTCCCAAATTACTTATGCAAAATTTTAAAAAGGAAAGGAGAGAAAATTTGTATAACATACTACTTCCTATTACCTAATGTAATTAGGACACTTTTAAGTTAGGAATAAAGAGACATAATGAGCCTTTTGGTTTCATTTCCAGGCCTCACAGAAAGAAAATATGACTTACAGAATTGGACACATTGCATCTAGTTTATCAAAAGCTAAAAAGGCCTTTCATTTCTTTAGAATTGAAATAAATTTCTTTTTGAGTAGAGTAGGATGGGATAGAATTTGAAAATGGCAAGCAACAGTATCTTGGTTTCTTTAGGTTTAAAATAGGATTTTTAGGGTAGATCTCAGTCTTTCAGTGTTCCCCCTCCTTCCCTTTTTTCTGGCAGAAATGGCTTTTAGGTGTCAGGAAAAGTTGATGTGTCTTCAAGGCAGGGAGGAGAGAGAGCCCCAGATCCATTGTGAATCTTTGTGCTGCCATCTGAATTCTCACTGGCATCCATGGAGATATAGCTAGTCTAAACTGGCTACTAGTAGTACCTTGTTGATCTGCTGCTAAAGTCTGTTTTTGGTTAAACCAGTATTTTATTCTTTGAGAGTCATCAGAGCCTATAGCCCTCCCTTGCTCACTTGCTCTCTTCTCATTTCTCAACAGCCTTGCAGGTCCTCGGGTCTCAGGCGCATCTGCCCCCTGAGCCCTGGCTTAGCCTGTCTACTCTGCAGCATCAGCTCTGGGGTCATTTCACAGTGACCCCGATGGCTTCTCACTCTCAACAACAACCTTCCACATACCCTCCTGGGATCATGAAGAAATACCTGGACATGAGAGCCTGCTGCAAAGGAGCCAAGGAAGTTTCAGGCCTGCCATCACAGAACCTTCTTTGGCCTACTTACACCATGTCGCCATTTTATTCTGTTTGTAGTAGTCCTAAGTTGAATGTGGTTGTCTTGAAAGGGTTGTCTCTTCCTAGAATGCCAAACAGGAAGCAGGACAAACTCCTGAAGCTCCTCTGCTTTCAGTTTTTGCCATTATTTATCTGAGTTTTCATCCTTGGGGGGTAGTCAGGACCATCAAGTCAGACCTCATGCCCCCTGCCTCTTCCTTCTTCCTCTTTTCTGGTAGAAGTATTCTGTTTCCTCTTCCTTCCCCTGGGAACTCATCCTCTGTCATATCCTCCCCTTTCTTGAGGAGGTATTCTTCTCCTTCCCAGTGGGAGAAAGTGGTGAGTAAGGGCTTCTACTATGCAATCAGAACTTGGAGATTTTAAGAAAAGGACAACTGGTAGTTAAATTAGATCTAATTAGATGTAGTAGTTAAATTAGATCTAATCTGCTTGTTTGTGTAAATTTGTTTTTTGTCTTTTTGTAATGATATAACTTGCCATTTATTGAGTACTTATAATGCTCAGGCACAATGCTAGGGACTTTATTAATAATATATTTAATCCCTCTCAGCAACCGTAGGAGGTGGGTATTATTATCCCTGTTTTATAGATGAGGAAACTGAAGCTCAAAGAAGGGAAGTAAATGTCTACGATCTGAATCCAAGTCTATTTGAATTCAAAGCTGAAGTTCCTTTCACTTTCCTACTGATACTCTTTGCATTTTATTTATAAAAGTGTGAAAACTATAGCAAAAAAGGAGAATCTACTGTTTTAAAATGTTGTGTTGACTTAATACATGGCAACCAAATGTCATTTGTAAATATTTATATAACCCAGCATTATAATTCCATTTACTATTTTTCTCCAGTAAAAATAAGTGAAGACAAAGTGCTTTGACCTCTGTAGTAGAAGTCATCAGATAAATCCAGTTATCATTACTTAATGTTGTTTTTATATACACTGAATGTGAATTACCATAGTATATAACATTTCTTGTGTTTAAATTTTTCTGAAAACTAGTGTATATGATTTTAAGGCAAAGCCCTGACATTAACCGTCTGATGACAAGAGATAAATCTGTTCTCTGTAATCATAATCAGCCCTGCTAAGCACTTCTTACAAATCTACCCCAATGCACTCTAAGAATGCCTACCTACTAGGAAATGATTGCCTGAGGCTGATATAAAAGTTTTTTTCCTACACAATAAGGATTTTCCATTTCCTGTGCCAGTACAAACCTCTCATCTATCTTTCCATCTTTCCCTTTTTTCTTTTTAATTTTCTCTTCCAACTCTAAAACTATTTTATTCCTTCCCCTCAAGCATGTGTTTCTCTCTTTATTTTTAAATATTACAGCTTTCTAACATCTGTCTCTAGGGCAGCATAATCTTACTGATGAAATATTCCATGTTTTCCTTGAGCCCTTGTCAATATGTCTTCGTGTTAACAGCTTAGCAGATGGAGAAACAGAAGGAGTAGCCTCAGCTTACCTGAATGATTTCTCCCCAGCACCAGACACATTACTGTCTCTAGTAACTTGATGATAGGAATTGGAGGAATTGGAAAATAAGAAATGATACCTGACTTTGGCAGTGTTAATTACTAAAACTATTGGCCGCTGTTCTTTGTTGTTGTTATATCCTTTTTCCCAGGCTCATACCAGGAGAAGGCAGAATTATAGCAACCTCCTAGTTTGGACTGTGCCTGTTTAGATAATGAAAGTAAAATAAGCAATAATACTAATATTGCTTTGGGCATAAATTAGCATGTTCCCAAGTGGTTCCAGGGTAATAATGGTGATTTAGCAGCAGCAGTGGCTTTCTATAACACTGAAATTGTGGGAGCCTATGATACTGCTTTTTGTAATAGCATTGTTCTTTTTACATAGGACAAATTATTGTTTTTTTTTTAATGGACTGACTGCTTTTTACTTAAGTACAATCCTAGAGAGGCCAAAGCAAGGCTTTGAAGCGAGGATGTAGAACAGTTCATGGTGAATGCCTTTGTACTAGCTATAGAGAATGACGCTCATGCCCTCCTTTACGTGTAGCTTTAAAGAAACTACTGGGTGGGCTCTGGTCTGCCAACAAATTTTTCAGAAGTATTAATCATCAAGATGCAAGGTTTTCTTTGGCTAAACAAGAGAAACTTGTGAATGAAGCCTGTGAGTTACCTAGTTAGAATCTGTGTGATTTTTCCTTTGCAGATAAGAACAAGGGGCAAGAGATGATCATCTAAAATAAAAATAATGGGGTGCATGGATGTGTGGGAGAAGTAGGGAGTAGTGCTGGAAGTCGGTCCAAAGCTGGGAAAATTTGGAAAGGATCAGGACTCTGAAATAGGTGAAAGGAAGTTTTCTCAAATTTTTACGTGCACATGAGTCATCTGGGGGATCATGTTAAAAATGCAGATTTTGTGTCAGTAGGTCTGGGGTGGGGCCTGAGTGTCTGCATTTCTAACTAGTTCCTAGACAGTGTTGTTGGTCTAGGCATCACACTTTGACTAGTAAGAGTCTTAAAGCTCATCTCCAACCCTGGAACTGCAGTTGAGAATACCTGTGACTAGCCTTTAGGTCAGTTTGGATTAGACCCTAAATAATTCAAAATCCTATTCTTAAATACACACTCACACAAATCCTGTTTGTCTTTGGACTTTTGTCACATGAAGTCGATGACCAAATAATTTCAATAAAAATTCCAGATATATTTCATCAAAATGTGTACAAAGAAATTTATATATACATTATATGAAATGTATTGATAATAATCGACATTACATCTTCTATTATATTAGAATGCTTTGATATGTTAATATTTCCTCATCTTTGACTTGGAAACCAGTGAATAGTATATGGGATTTTTAAAATTTTCACTTTTAACTATTGCTCAATTTGTTGTGCTCACTGGTCCACATATTACCTCAGACACTAAGAATTTTTTCCATGCTGACATTTGACATAGACTTTGAAAATGAACACCCCTTTCTTTTTTTTTTTAATTGGAGCATCAGATCTTTATGTGGGTGGAGGTGGTGTGGGAAACACTTTCATGAGAGATTTTCTATCCAAGGGTAAGAGTTTCTAGCCCAGGGTTTCTCAAAGTATAGTTCCTGGACCTATTGCATCAAAAATCAGGTGCTATGTTAAAAATGCAGTTTCTTTGACTCCAGCTCAGATTTACAAAAGCAGAGTCCTGTATTTTTAACGAGGCTCCAGGTGACTGTCTTGCATACTACCATCTGAAAATCACGGACTAGTACAAGGTGTTGAATTCCTCATAAAGCTAATTTGAAGGGCGCGCTTTCCATGGTGTTACTCTCCTGATTACATTAATTTGTCAAAGAAGCAACAAACTCAGAGAAGATATAACAAATTTTTGTTTATTATGAAATAAATATATGGGGAGGGTTGAGGTGACATAAGAGAACTCTGTACTTTCTGTTCATTTTTCTGTAGACCTAAAACTGCTCTGAAATAAAAAATAAAATATATACACACATAGAATTTTACATAAGTGTCATCATTTGATATATGTATATGATTGTACATATATTTTACATAAATGTGATTATATCAGTATGTTATTTTTAGAGCATTTTTTTTGTCATTACTTGCCCCCCAATCTGCCCGCATCACTGCTTTCACTAGGACACGTTAACCTAGTTTTATCCTTCCATTTTTTTTCTCCAAGTTCTAGTCAAGCAAAGAATAGCTACAGTAGCTACAATTTGGCAGTAGCGGTAGATAGCACAAGCTTGAAGAGTGAGAAGACTCACACATCACACTGAAATTGTCTTAATTTGTTTCCAGAACCAAAAGCTCAAATATTGCAATTTCCAGTCAAGAACCAGACACCAGGCCAGTCTGGAATCACGTGTGCTTCTACTCATGTGTCATTAGCTCCTCATATCCCATCATCGTTTGGGCATTCTGAGTTAGAACTTTGTTAACAGTAATCGGCCAGAAACCAATGAAGGAGACCAAGCAACTTATCAAGGTCCTTCTTTATACTTTTTCCTAGACATGAATGCTTCTTTGAAATGTTAAAAGACACAGATCATTTCCTTGAGGCACACTTGAAGGGTTATTTAAACACCATGTTTCCTTATATGGACATAGGAATTAAATTTTGTGGCGTTCTGAAAAAAAGTCCTTTCATTATAAATCATACATATATTGCTTTCCTAACCAAAATTAAGATAGATTTTGCACTTTCAGAGAGGGATTATCACCTCAACTGCATATCATAAAAGCTTACCTAGAGAACAAGTAGTCCTTAGCAAGTTGAGCAATTTTTACAACACGTGGTTTAAGAGAATGGGAAATCACAGACCTTGGAGTCCAAAGACTTAAATTTTAGTTCTAGTTGGGCTTATTACTACCCGACTATCCTCTGGCACATCAATTTTCTTATTATAAAATCGAGATAAAAATAACTTCCATGCCCTCAGGGTTACTGTAATGTTTTGTAATGTTATTGTAATGATGTGTAAGAAAAACCGCATTGCAGTTTGTAAGAAGATGTGCAAATGTTATTGCTAACATTTTTACTTTCAGAGATTATCCCCAAATTCAAACTGGTGCAAAACGATTTTTTTTTCCTCTCTAGCCATCCAGAAAAAAATCAGTGTTTTGGCAATGATGAATGTGTGCGTGTGTGTGGATAGTTTAAGGGATGAAGTATGAAGAAGGGAGTGAATTCCTGTAAATGTAGCAAATCAACTATTCATTTAAAAAGGAAAGGGATTTGTTTCTGTCTTGCTCTTTATGACCTAAGTATTCATATGCAATAAGATTATTCATGTAAATCAAACTGTACTTGTTCTCCCATTTGCATGATTTTGAGTAAATCATGCAAAAAAAGAAATTGACCAAAGTTTTCACATACTGGAAAACTTCAGTAAACTATGGTAGTACTTTAGGGCAATCATCTGGCTAATTTTCCATCACCAGAGCCCTAAGCAAAGTGTTAAATCCCATAGTCCATACTTTTATTACTGAAAGCAGGTACAGAAGTTCAAGTTTGACTGTTAAATAATAGATGTTATAAAGAATTTTTTTAAATTATGGACTTCCTAATAGAAGGAGGCTTCTAGGAAATAAATATTTCTGATTGTTCCTTTGCCTTACTTAGTAAGATTCCTGGTAAGTGAGATACACTTTTCTTTTGTAAAATGCCAGAAAGGTGAGTGTGAAGGAAGGGTGAGAAAGAAGAACCAACACTACAGAAGTGCTCTAGGCAGATCAGTCTAGGAAGATGTACATATGGAAGTTGAGCATACAGATTTGAGTCCCTTAAAGTGACTCATGCCTGTGTATCCCTTGTAAGGTACTCCTCGGGATGAAAAGCTACGATCTATGGGATATTTTCCAGCACTTCATACATGTTCTTTCATTTTATTCTCTTCCTTATAATTGGGAGGTCTGGGAGGGGGGTAGATTAGTTTATCCAGTAAGCATCTAAGGCTAAAGTGTCATACCTTTTGTGTGCCTAATTGATTAGCATCTTTGTCTCAACTGTCTCACGTTG